TCCTCTGCCAGGGGCTCCCATCTCCCATGAGTTCACCCATGGCACCTTCATCTGTCCAGCACCCAAACCAGAAATACAGGACTCATTCTCCTCATTGTGCCCCTTTCCACCAAGTCCTGTTTCTCTCTATTTCCTGCTGCCACGGACCCAGTCCAGGCCACCATCATCACTCATCTGAATTATTGTGGAGCCTTCTACTTGGTTTGCCTGATCGGTTTCACCTGCTCTAATGCATGCTCCACACCGTCATTCCCTCTCTTAAAACTCTTCAGTGGCTGCCTGTGCCTTTAGGATAGCATTCGCAATGCCCAAGGGTGCCGCTCAGGACCTGGCCCTCTCTAGTTTCTCCACTGCCCCCTTTGCTTTAGGTCCCCACCATCCAGAACTACTGGCTGCCTGGGCATCTCCGTTGCTCGCACATTCTGCTTCCTCTGCCTGAGGCACCCCCACCCCTGCCTAGTCACCTCCTCCAAGAAGTCTTCACTGATCCCTCCCCCTAATCCCTTATGAACACTGTCATCCCCTTGTCCATCATGTCACCCCTGTGTTACAATTGTGAATTTCTTGGGACCTGGATTATTCATTTTTGGCTTCACAATAAACCTGGCTGAGTGTAGATGATAAGTAATGTTTCTGAAGTGAATGTGGGTCAGAGAGGTTAGGTGACAACTTCTTTTCTGCTGTGAGATTCCCCCATCATATCCCCATCACTCCAGCCTCAGCATTGGGCCTTCCAGGGACATCCCTAGAGAATGTGGAACTGAGCTGATGGCCGGCCCTCTCCCTTCCACCCCACCACAGGAGAGTCACAAGGTTGATGGGAGACCTTAATCGTCATTGAGTTGTCTCCCACCATTGTGTTGCAGACAGGTAAATTGAGGCCCAGAGAGGTAGTATGGCCTGGTGGTCCAGGTGGTCTTGGGTTCATCTCCTGACCTTATGACTTTGGACAAATTAATACCTTCTTTTCTTTTTTTCCCCCTCTTTAAATAACTTTATTGAGATATAACTCACAGACCGTAAAAATCCCACCTTTTAAAGCATATAATTCAGTGGTTTTTATTATATTCGGAGCTGTGCAGCCATCATAGTGTGCCCCTCTGAGCCTCCATTTCCTTATTTGTAAGCCTTGGGTGATTATGTACTGGTCCCTGGGGTTGTTGTGAGAAGTGATTAAGAACATGCATGTAGAGGCCTTGGCACAGCACCTGGCCCATAGGAAATCCTCAGCCAGCAGGAGCAGTTATGGTTCTTACTTAGGGTCACACAGCGAATCTGGGGTGAAGCCAATGTTGGCATGAGACCCACCTCCCCAGCAGGGCTTTCCCCTTCCCTTTGCCCTGTGGCTGCTTCTGGTAGTGATTTGAGGAGGTGTAGAAGGGAAAAAGGCAATGACTGCAAGTGTTTAAGAAGCCCTGAGTTGGCTAATACATGTAATTGAGCCAGCCACAACCACTCCCATCAGCTAAGCCAGTGATTCTCAAAGTACAGTCCCCAGAACAGCAGCATTAGCATCACCAGGGGACTGTGTAGAAATGCACATTCTCAGGCTCCACCTTATACTTACTGAATCAGACACTCTAGGAATAGAATATTTTAACAAGCTCTCCAGATGATTCTGACACCCACTATAGTTTGAGAACCATGTGTCTAAGCGAACCATTGACCTTTTCATCCCTAATCATCTTGCTGCCCTCCTAAATGAGTGGGATAGTCACTTAATGGTAATGGGATGAAGGGAGGATATGGAGAGGAAAGGTTGTGACAAGCTTTATGATAAGCCCCAGCCAGGAAGAGCCAGCCAGGCAGCACCCACCCATTCCAGCCCTGCTTCCTGGGCTAGGTAAGGGAGAACATGGGCCCCAAATTGCAGCAGACACGATGAGCAAAGATGATCCAGAAAGTGGCTGCCAGTCTGGCCTCTGCTGAGGAGATTATAGAGGGCCCAGGCCAGCAAGCTCCTATGTACCATTGTTACTTGTATAGATGCAGAAACTGAGGCCCCAGAGGGCGCCAGAGACGATCCTTAGACAGTCCTTATTTGTTGTGTGAATGAAGCCACACACTGGTTCTGGCACACACAACCAGACTCCAGCTCAGGGGCTCCTTCACTCTGTCTCCTCTTCCCTAAACTCCAGACATTGCTCTCCCTTCTGCTGTCCCAAGAGTTTTTGTGTGGGGACCCCTCAGCAAGGCCAAGGCAGTTGGAGGGGGGGGCAACCTGAGCTGGGGCTCTTACCCCAGCTCTGTCACTGATTCACTGTGTGATCTTGAGCAAGGCAGTCCCTCCTTGGACCCCATTTCCTCTTCTGGAAGATGGGGTAATACTCAGGTGCCTGGAACACACGATGTTCTCTATCAGACCAAGTATATCCCTTCAAAGGTTTTGAGCATCTAGGGTAAAGGAACTCCCAGCTAGTTGATTAAAGCTGGGGGAGGTGAAGTTTAGGGGATTTTTAAAAAGCAGCTGTCAAATGGAGTTGGTCAGAGGTGTGCCTTCTTAGGAAAGATGCTGGGGAGCCTGACAGTCTGGGATGGATGTATATAGAGCTTTGGGAGCCTCCTCAGTTTGGGGCACAAACGGGGGGCTTTGGTTTGGTGACATGTTTTGATGTTCATTTAATGTGAATTCCTGCCATCCATTTAGTCAGTCTTTAACAGAGCTATAAAATCAATCAATCAAACAATCAGGGTTAGGAGAGAATGAGTGGGGATGAAGCCACTATTTTAGAGAGGGATTGGCCGGAGAAGGCCTCTCCAAGGAGGTGACATTTGAACAGAGTCCTGGATGAGTAAGGGAGCAATACACAGAGGAAACAGCAAAGCAAGTGCAAAGCCTGGAGGTGGAAATATGCTGGGCGTGTTCCAGGAATGGCAAACAGGCCAGAATGGCTGGAGCATAGTGAGTGAGGGTCAGGAGTGGAGAAGATCAAGTTCAAGGGCTTGAGGGGTGGTATCCAGATCTCCCAGGGCCTTGCTGGACATGCTGAAGAGTTTGGCTTTTGCTCTCCAAGGGTGATGGAAAGTTGGTGGAGAGTTTTGTGGAGAGGGATGGTTTCTGGCTGCTTTGAAGAGAGTGGGTCGCATTTAAGGCAAGCGTGGAAGCAGGGAGATTGGTTAGGGGCCAGAGGGTGGTGGCTTGGTCACAACAGTGAGACATGATTTGTCCAGGAATATATCCTGAAGGTGGGGCCAACAGAATTTGCTAGAGAACAGGATGTGGAGGGTGAGGGGAAAAGAAGAATCAGGGATAACTCAGATATTTGGCCTGAGTCCCTGGGTAAACAGTGGTGCCATTACTGAGATGGGTAGACTAGAGGGGAGGAAGATTTGAGGGTGAATTGAGTTTGTCTTTGAACATGTTCAGCTTGCGAGGCCACCAGACATCCAAGAAGAGATGGTGAGTAGCAGCTGGACATCTGAGCTGACTCCCAGGAGAGGCTGCCTCGCCCTCACGCCTGCTAAATGGCAAAGGCGATGGTAGTGAGGGCGTGGGGACAAGATGAAAAGTGTTTTTTTTTTTTCTGGTTTGTATTTTTAAGGAAATTTAAATTTGCATTTTAAAACATATCAATTTGTTATTAACCAAGTAACCCATGTTTATTCTAAAAAAATGTTAGGAAATACAGACAAGCAAAAAGCAAAACAAAAGCGAAATCACTTAATATTGCCAACCAGAGATAAGCGTTGCTGACTCTTGGTACATGTAGAAAAAAACCTCTACATTTTGAAAATTGGAATCACATTGTCCTCAAGGTTTCATAATCTGCTTTTTCACTTAACCTATTATGAAGTGGATTTTATAGGTGTGTAATTATTGACATGACAAGGTAAGTGTTGAGGACAAAATTTCTTGAAATACCCAGTAGGAAGCCCCCAGCGTAGCTCACTGCTATGTCAGATTGGCTGACAAATGGGACTGGAGGATTTCTGTTGAGGGCCGGAGTGAAGGCCATAAAGGTTTGGCTGTAGCCTCTCCCAGAGGACAGGACTGGGCGAGATGACCTCAGGGAGGGCCCTTTCAGTCCCAAACCCTGTGCCAGCTGCAGTTCCTATCCAAGGTGGATGTGGCTGCTGCGTTTTCTGCGGGTAATTACTGAACTCCAGGAGCTGGTGCTCTCCCCATCGCATGCCTTGTGTCTTTGCTGACTCAGCCTTCAGGGGAAGTTTGGAACCCTGGATCTAACTTCAGCTCTGTTCTGGACATGCTGGGTGATCTCGGGTCCTGGACATGCTGGGTGATCTTGGGTGAATCCCTTTCCCTCTCTGGTCCTCGGTTGCCTTGCTTGTGCAATTGGGGATAAGGGTTGTTTCCCTATGTTTCTGAAAGTTCCTTCTGTTTCTAAACATTTAGTCTGGGGAGTTCATAGCCGGCGACCCAGCTCCACGTTGCCTGACTCCCCTCCCTACACCCTCTTTCCTTGCCTCCTTCCCTCCCTACCTGTCCTACCCAGCTGTCCCACTATTTAAATCCATAAGAGCCCACGAAGGCAGGAGCAATTGTCCCCATTCTGCAGAGGAGGCCATGCTCCTGCCACTTTGGAGTGCACAGGGAAGGGGTCTCCCCTCAGCCACTAACCTTCTCTGAGTCCCTGGCTGACCTCTGGGGCACTTCTCTCAAGACACACTGAAACTGAGCCAAGGGCAGAGGCCACCACTTGCAGGTCGCTGAGCCTGGAGGAACCCTGAGTTACTCTGTTCCCACTGCTAGCCCAGACGGACCTGCCACTCACAGCAGAGTGGCCACCTCTCTGAGCCACAGCCTGCCTCGAGGGGCAAGTGAGAGGGTTGTGAGGTGTCCTGGAGCTTAGGGGTTGCTGCCTTTTGGGCCCAGCTTGGAGCCATAACTCCAGGGAACTCTGATTCTGATTCTGCTTTCCAAAGAATTCTTCCCAAATAATGCTTCCTTCCTCCTCTGACTCTACAGCCCCCTGCCTGAGGCTCCTTGGCTGTCCAGTCCTTCCAGCAATCTAACCCTCTCCCTCATGCTGCAATTGCAGATTCCTGCTGGTCTTCAGCTGCCTGGTGCTGTCTGTGCTGTCCACTATCCAGGAGCACCAGGAAATTGCCAATGAGTGTCTCCTCATCTTGGTGAGTGCCAGGAGTCCAGGGCTGAGGGAGGCTGTGCGTGGCAGCACCTCTGGGCTGAGGACTGAAGGTGGAGAGAGGCTTCTCATACCATGGCTCAGAAGGCAGCTTGCTGCACTGTGTTCCCTGAGATGGTGGCTATCTCTGTGGTCATCATCCCCCACTTTATCGCAAGTGTTGGGGACCTCCTGCCTTTATGTGAGGACTTCTGATGGGCCCAGAATAGAAAAGGTGAATGTGCTCCACCCCTTCTCAGGACAAAAACTGCTAACTCCACCCCCTGGCATGGTGGGTTTTATTTTTGTTTTATTTTGCCTAAACAAAACCCACCAAACCGAAGCCCCTAGGAGGGGAATGGCTGACAGACAGCCACCCCTTATGTCACCCAGTCAGAGTTAGGGGTTCTGGGATGGCTGGGGAGGAGAGGGCAGGATGAGGAGCAGAAAAATCCTGCCCGCTCATGGGGGCAGGAAGGGGAAGACAGACTTGGGCTTTTAGTCTCCTTGGAGGACAGGGAAGGGGCCACCTGCCTTCTGGAATCCTCCTCAAGGCCTTCCAGGTGATAGCACCTCCAGGAGAGGGGTCCGAGGAGGTCCTGGTCCCTGTAACTCAGGGACTCTGGGCTGGGTGGGCATTGTGACCTGGGTCCGGTTCTAGAGAGTGGGGACCAGACTTCGGGCCTCTGGTCCCCCAGGAATTCGTGATGATCGTGGTGTTTGGCCTGGAGTACATCATCCGCGTCTGGTCCGCTGGATGCTGCTGTCGCTACCGAGGATGGCAGGGCCGCTTCCGCTTTGCCAGAAAACCCTTCTGTGTCATCGGTAATAAGGGCCCCCCCCCGTGCCTGACCCTTGACCCCAAGTCCCAGGGCTGACACCTCGACCCCATCCCTGACCCTGGCTACTGACACAGACTCAGCGAACCCCCCCCCCAATCTCCCTACCCCCCACGGCCACAGGAGCCCCCACCCTGGGTGCTGACGTGGGGTGGGCCGGCTCCCCAGCTCTGGCCATGACGTCGCCACGCCCGCCCCTGCAGACTTCATCGTGTTCGTGGCCTCGGTGGCGGTCATCGCCGCGGGCACACAGGGCAACATCTTTGCCACGTCTGCGTTGCGCAGCATGCGCTTCCTGCAGATCCTGCGCATGGTGCGCATGGACCGCCGCGGCGGCACCTGGAAGCTGCTGGGCTCGGTGGTCTACGCGCACAGCAAGGTGAGGCCCAGCAAGGTGAGGCCGGCGGGCCGGCGGGTCTGGGGCAGGCGCCGGAGCTGAGCCAGGGGGTGGGCGGCTGGGGGTGAGGGGTGGTAGGGGAGACTGGAAGGGGCGGGGCCTGGGGAATAAGGACCAGAACAGGACGGGGAGGCTAAGGGCGGGCAAGCGGGGGCCGCAGCTGGGCAGGGGCAGGATCTAGGAGTCAGCACCAGAACAGGAGGTGGGGCCTGGGAGGTAGGTCTTGAGGGTTTCACCTGGAAGCTTCTGGGTTTGCAAGGACTAGTCGCACAGCAAAGTGGAGAGCTGGGGTGGGGCCAGAGGGTGGGGTGGGCAGGGCTAGATGTAGGGCCTGGATCAAAGCCTGAAAGTGGGGCTTGTGGGTTGGGGCAAGGTGGGCCTCGGGGTGGAGGTCCCAGCCTGGAACCTGGAGGGTCAAGGGCAGGCCCGGGCTTGCTGGCGGTTTCATGAAGGCAGTCAGGGTCTCCTTGAAGGGAGGAGCTGAGAAAGAAAAGTGAGCAGAGCCACCGCCAGGCAACTCCGAGAGGTGGGGTACTTTTGTCCCCTTCCTGCCCATTGGCCATTCTGGGAGCCTGCTACCTTTCTCAGGTAGGCACAGCGTTCCTCACTTCCTCACGCTCTCCGCCTGCCCCCACAGGAGCTGATCACCGCCTGGTACATCGGGTTCCTGGTGCTGATCTTTGCCTCCTTCCTGGTCTATCTGGCCGAGAAGGACGCCAACTCTGACTTCTCCTCCTACGCCGACTCGCTCTGGTGGGGGACGGTGCGTGAGGGTCTGTACAGGGCCACCCTTCTCCCTGGGACCCTCCCCGGGAACTTCCTGAGGTCTGCCCATTGTGACCACTGACTCAGGGTTGAGCAGGCCTGTCCCTATCCTCTTGAGATTGTCCTGGGACCCTCTTTGCTAGCCCCCCAACCTGTTCTAGCAGACAACTTGTGCCCAAACCTAGCCCCCCATATCACATCCTTGTGACCTGTCCCCTTTCCCCTGATCAGCACTGGAGGGGGTGGGCTCCATCTGTGCCCCTAATCAGGTCCTGGGACAAGTCCCTATGACCAACCCCCGTAGGTGACCTTCCCTCATGATAAGGCTCCCACCTAACTGTGCCCCAACAAGTTCTCCTGGGTGGTCTCCATGACCAGTCCTGCGGGTAACCCATTTGTATCCCTAGATTACACTGACGACCATCGGCTATGGTGACAAGACGCCGCACACCTGGCTGGGCAGGGTCCTGGCTGCTGGCTTCGCCTTACTGGGCATCTCCTTCTTTGCCCTGCCTGCCGTGAGTTCCCCACTGCTGGGTTGGTGGGGGAGGCTGGGGACGGGACCTGCTCAGCCACTGTCACAAATTTGCCTGGCAGCCTGGGGCACCTCATAAGAGCAGGGAGGGGGACGCTTTTGCAGTTTCTTGTTGTCCCCACCACCACCACATTTCTCCAACCATGTTCCATCCCCCTAGGGCATCCTAGGCTCTGGCTTTGCCCTGAAGGTCCAGGAGCAGCACCGGCAGAAGCACTTTGAGAAGCGGAGGATGCCAGCGGCCAACCTCATACAGGTACGATATGCCAGGAAGCCCTGTGGAGCAGGGTGGTGTGACTGTAGTGTGTCCACCCTTCATGCTGGCACAGGTGTTCCAGCTTCACAACTATGAAGCTCAGAGAGGGGATGTGACTTTTCTGGGATCATATGCCAAGTCATGGACAGAGCTGGATGCTGACCAAGATTGTCAGAAACTTTCCCCTGCACCAAATACCCGGTTTAGGGCAAGCCAGAGCTACCCCACTGCTCAACTCCAGCCCCACTCTACATGGCCTGGACACAGGCCCTGCCAGGGTAGACCCAGTTCTGCCACCCGTCAGCTGTGCAGCTGTTGGTAAGCCTGCTCCACTCCCAGCACCTTACTTCATTGGTTAACACTCACACAAATGAAGGGAAGGTGGTCAGAACTGGGATTTTAGGAACCCCAACATTTAGTGGCTGGGTGGGCAAAGCTGAGCCAGGCAAGGAGACAGAGAAGGAGCAGCCAGAGGCGTAGGTGGAAAGCCAGGAGCATGTGGTCTCAGTTTCCCTCGGTGTGATAATTGGGTGTTCTGACTTGGTGTGGGCTGAGGCCAAGGCTCTGACTTTTTTGTGACTCTGTGACTAGGCCTTGGCATCTCTCCAGTCAGGAATGTGCAAGAGCCCCTGTACGAAATGGATCAGGAAATACTGGCACAGCCCACCTCTGCCTGCTCCCCAGCATGCTACCCTCTGACCCCCAAACCCAAGCCTGACTCAACCCCTCCTTATCTCTCTTCCCCAGGGTGGAACCCCTCTCCCTTTCCCTGCTATCTCCAGCCACCAGCCCAGCCTTTTCTTCTTAGTATCCCTTGGGGCACAATGGCCACTGTCACCTGGGAGCTGGCCTTCTGAGGGGCATTGTAAGGGCAGGCGGCTGGCACTGTCCATGCGAGAGACAGCTGGTATTGTGGTGCCCATAATTAATGAAACACCTCTGGCAGCTGCTTCCTAGCCCATGCCAGGGGTCTAGGCAAGCAGGAAGTAAAAATATTCTCATCTTAGGAGGTGCCTGGCTGGTGAGGTCGGTGGTGGCAGCCCCTTAAGGATAAGACATCCAAAGAAATGGGGGGGTGCCCAGGGCCTGTTTCTGCCTTGTCCTGCCTAGCAGCTTCCATGTCTCCTTGCTGGCCCAAGGACTGGGTTTCTTCAGGGAAGAGGGCTGGTAGGAAGCTAAGAGGCATCACCAATGCCCCATTTCCCCACGTCCCCCATATCACCCAGGCTGCATGGCGCCTATACTCCACCGATACAAGCCGAGCCTACCTGACAGCCACCTGGTACTACTATGACAGTATTCTCCCATCCTTCAGGTAGGTCCTAATGGGGTGGGGGTTGGGGGTGGGGGACTGGCAGTAATGCCTCTGGTGACAAGTAGCTGGGACTAAGCCATGGAGAGTGGGGAGGCAGTGATGACTCCCAAGGGACCATTTTGGGCTGGCTCTGCAGGTCCTGCTTAACTCAGAGCCTGGAGTGTCCTTTCTCCTGTTCTGCTGTGTCCAGGGAAGGGGTGGGCACTGGACATGGACATTGGTGAAGCCCTGCCCTGCTGGCTGAGCCCCAACCGCTGGGATACTGGCAGTTCACATGCTCACCCATAGGTGATGCCACTCAGGACAGTGGCACAGAGAGCTCTGTCTCTCCTCAGTCTTGGGTGGGAGACAGTGTTAGCACTTACCAGCCAGGCATATTGCAGCTGGTAGAGAAAGTGTGGGATGGCAGGCCCAAGTGTGCCAGACTTGGGTGCAAGGGCCCACCCAGCACCTCCATGCGTGAATATGCACCCACTTTACTGTGCCAGAGTGGGTCTGCCCCACTGGCCCAGGCCGGGCTAAAACTGCACAGGGGTAGCTCCGTACAGGATTATTAATAGCATCACCCAGGTGCATGTGGCCAGGTGCCTGGCCAGGCCCTCGGACAGGAACGAAGACCATGGATTCCGGCTCAGTCCTGCGGGCAGGCAGCATTGCGCATGCGGCTGGGCCAGGCTGCTGTGCTCAGCGCTTCTGCAGGGGCCTTTTTTGCCTCATTAGTTCTCCAAGAGCAGCTGTTGCGTGATCCCACTTGCCCCTGCACCTGTTCCCCTCTCCCCATTCCTTCCCAGTCCCAGGGGCTTCCCAGGAGAAGAGCAGGAGAGGAGGGGCTGGGAAGGGGGGCTCCCAGCATCACACAGGCCCCCCCATCTCCACCTGGCAGAGGCAAGTTCCCACCTCAGAGACAGGGCTGGTGGCTAGATTAGAAGGAGCCTCCTTTTCCAGGAGTAGCCCTAAGGAGTCAAGGCCAGGGAGTGGGACAGGGACTGGTTTGTTAGAAATATGATGTGTCAGGGGGAGGGAAGATTCAGAGTTGGGGGTAGTCTGGGTCCTCTGGCAAGAGGGACAGAGCCTAGTGTGGCAATTCTGGGTCCACTGGGCCTTCTGCTCCCTGGACCTGTTTTCTCATCCATACAGTGGGAAGGCAGGCAGGGGAGAGGGGAGATATCCTCCTTGGCTTATGGCAATAGGAAATGGCCCAGAGAATTAGGAAGAAGCTACAGCCCCAAATCCAGTCTCTAAGAACCCAGTGGCAGGAGTGAAGGCCACAGGGGAAGGAAGCTGGGCTAGCCACCATATCAAATCTCCCTCCTCGCCTCAGTCTCCTAAAATTTAGTCAGATCTGGAGGGTAAGGATTTCAGGGCTGCCGCTGGCCTCCGGCTAGGCACAGCTCCACGTCCAGGCAGTCAGCTTGATGAGCAGAGAGTAAGCTGGATTTGAGTGCCCACTGCCACCTTGTGAGGGTGCCCTTGAGTTGTGCCCAGCCTGTACAACCATCCCTGGTATCCCCGCTGATTTCCCAGGAACTGAGTGTAGAAAGGGAGGAAGGAAGGCCAGTCTCTCCCCAACCCCACCCCGCCTGTTCTGGCCTGGGGAGTCTGGGAGCACTTCTAGAGGTGCTAGAAGCTCAGTGCCCACTGAGTGAGGGGGTGGTGCCAGGGCCCCGCCTGCCGCTGATGGCGCCCTCTCCTGCAGAGAACTGGCCCTCTTGTTTGAGCATGTGCAACGGGCCCGCAACGGGGGCCTACGGCCCCTGGAGGTGCGGCGGGCGCCGGTCCCTGATGGAGCGCCCTCCCGTTACCCGCCCGTTGCCACCTGCCACCGGCCAGGCAGCGCCTCCTTCTGCCCTGGGGAAAGGTAGGGGCCCCCTGGGGCCGCCACCTCCTGTTGCTTCTCCTCTTTCATTCTCTGTCTCATCCTCTCTCAGACCTGCCTCCAGCCACTACGTGGGTATCTGGGCCTGTTCTGGGGACTCAGGCCTCATGATGAGGCCTGGGTGGTTGTCATCGGATGGCCAGACAGGTACTGACTGAGGGCCTCTTGGACAGCCAGGCTGGAATCACCTTCCATCACCTCCTCCATTCATGCCGTTGTCCTTTCTCTCTCTGTTTCCACGTCCCTCTCACTCTTCCACCCCTGAACCCCTCATCCCTCCCGGGAAGCTGGAGAGAGGAGGAGGCCGCTGGCCACAGGTGCTTACGGCTCAGGTAATCGTGGGCATCATTCTGGGGTGTGAGGGCAGGGAACTTCCTCCCCCGGCACGTGGATCTAGAAGGGGCTTGACCCTGATCTCGTGTCAAGAATGAGGTGGCAGCTGGAAAGAGAGCTCTGTGACTAAGACTGCTGTAGGACCTACGGAAACTCAACCAATGACTAATGCTCTTGTCTTGTGTCACCCGCATCCACAGCTTTGCTAATCCCAGGGAGTCCCCTGGGATTGTCTCTTCTTCCTTACTGAGGTACACTTGGCTGTTCCCAGCAGTCTCTTCCCTCTTGACCTAACTCCTGGGGCTTTAGCATCTTGAAAGGAGAACAAAGCAAGAACGATGCTTACGCCCACATGAACGTTCATAAACAGACAAATTTCAGGCACATCTGGATAGGGGAAGCTCATCACCTCGCAGCATGGGAAATGGTTGTCCTTGTAGAGGTTTAGCTTTGAGGTCAAGGGTTCAATCCCCCTCATTCCTCCCCTGCCCTTTACCCATCTCTCTGTTTTGTCTCATCTTCACACATCATCCCTGAACCAGCCAGGTGGACATCTGGGCTTTGAGCCCCAGGCCCAGGACAAGGAATGGGAGAAGAGGGAGCCACTCAGTGATGAGGAGGAGGTATGGTGGGAGCTTGCCTCTGCCACCTGATGCTGTGTGTCCTTGAGAAAGTCATCAAGTCACTCTGAACCTCTGTGTCCTGGCAGAAAATCAGCAATGTTCAGGCTGATCAGGGCTGTGGGTTCTCTGAGTTTCTCTGCTGAAAAGGCCTGGGGAACTGGGGGTGGGGAGTTTTGGTGCAGAGGATGCAGGGAGCTGCATCCTTTCCCTTTTCTCAGTGAGGCCACTTCTGGGCCAGGGACTGAACAGGAAGTGGGGGAGGGGGGAGCCACTCCAGGCCTGGGGCTGGGGGGGATGGGAAGCATGCTGGCCAGGCCAGGCTGGGAGCTCCCTGGAAGAGAAGTCCATGGTGTGGCCCACCTGGATGCTCTATCACTGTCTGAAGGCCCTTCCTTGTTATCCCCATCCCCACCAGGCCATGGTTTATGGGCAGAAACTCAAAGGTTTTGGCATTCCAGCAGCCCTGACCAGGGCCTGAGCCAGGGCTGTCTGTAGCTTCCAGTTCATTCTGGTCTCACCTTGTCTGCATAGGGAGGCACTGGAAATGGAGGTTAGCCCAGAGCCTAGCACCTGTACTAACCCCCACAGCTTCTCTGGGTCCCTGAACCCCACAACACCCAGGACAGATTACTGCTAAGGTTTTGGCTGTCACTAACTCCTAGCCTTGTATCTATCTGCCCTGGAGTGTCTGCTCATGGTGATGGTGGTGGAGTATCCCGTCTTCCCAGGGACCCCAAGGGGCTGAGCTATGATTTCTAGATCAGTTACTAGGCTCAGACCAAATGGCCATATCTTGGCTGTCTGGGCCATATGGGGTAGGTACTTCAGCCAGGACACCCATCCCCCCCACCAAATATGTATGCACATACACACACTTGGCGGCCACACCCCTAGTGGAACTTGGGGATGGTCGCAGGCTGAGCATGTTCCCAGGAAATAGAGCCGAAGGAGCAGGACTTCCTGGGGGATGGAATTGCAAGGCCAGTATCTCCCCTCGTTAAGGTTTTCAGTGAGTTTCTCCAAGCACAGTCTCCTGACCTCCTGCATCAGCATCCCATGGGGTGTTTGTTCAAAATGCAGATACTGGACCCCTCCCCAAGTCCACAGAATCAGACTCTCTGGAGGAGAGGCACAGAATTCTGCATATTTAACATGCTCCCCAAGAGATCCTTATGCAAGGCTTAAGAACCTCTGCATTCTGGGGATGGGGCTGGAGGATGACTTGGGTGGGGGTCCTTCTCTCCCACCAGACCCAGGAGGCCGGCCCCATCCCGGCAGCTCCCCATACTCTGCCCACTGCCCTTTCCCACTAACCTCTGTTCGTGTCTTGTTCTCAACTTTCCAGCCAGATGTTTAGTAATAAACGGAGTTTCTTTCGGATCCACGCCAGCTGGAGACCGAGGTACCCCCTCGCCTGCTCCTCCTGTCCCCACTACTCCTTGCCCCACCCAGTTTGGGGGCTGGAGGAGGGGACAGGGTGGACCATGAACAAGGTGCATGTGCTTGCCGCCTGCCGTCTGCCTTGGGGCCTGAAGAGCCCTCGCCTCTCTGGGGATGCCTCTGCCAGGTCTGGGGCATGGGCCTGGTGTGCCAGAAGGGACACTTGCAGAAGCCTTGGGGATGCGTGCTGGCTCTGCCACTGACCCCCTGTGTGACCTTGACCAAATGGCTTCCCTTCTTTGGACCTCAGTTTCCCGTCTGTGGAATGGGCAGATTGAACTAGAGGCTCTCTGAGGGTTCTTCCCACTCTGACTTTTGCTAGGTCTTGAGTTTAGCTTCCTGTCTCCCCACTGCCCACCTAGGCACCTAGCAGATGGCTGAAGGAGCTGGGAGTGGTACCTCCTTTGCTCACTCCACAGCCCAAGCTCTTTTAGCTGCATTCCTTGGTACCTGCCCTGTGCCAGGCCCTGCTCTGTGCACTAGGGACACAGTGATGAATAAAACATGGTCCCTGGAGAGCTGCAAAGAGTAATTGCAGTTCGGTATGGTAAGTGCAACAAAAGGAGGAAGCGGAGGGCTGTGCAGCCTGGGTCAGTCACTTAACCCAGAGGAAGCCCTTAAAGGAGAGGGTCAGGGAGGGCATTCCAGTCTGACGAAGCAGCACAGGCCCAGGCAAGGAGGTGAGAGAAAGCCCAGCGTTTGGCCAGATCTAAGAGTGGGACATTAGAACTGAGGTTGGGGGCAGAGCTGGGTCATGAAACACCCAAGAGCCCAGTATGAACTTCATCCTGTTGGCACTGCCTGGCAGCCTGGGTTTCCTAACAGTGCCTCTGAGCCTTGCAGGGCGGGGGGCCCAGAGGTGGGAGACAAGTGACAGAGCTCCTGGCTACATGCACATGCTTCTGCCAAGATGCGGTCTTTCTTAGAAATGTGGCCATGTGAGGGCCGGCCTGTGGCTCACTTGGGAGAGTGTAGTGCTGACAACACCAAGTCAGGAGTTAAGATTCCCTTCCTGGTCATCTTTTTTTTTTTAAAAAAGAAAAATGTGGCCATGTGTCCTTGGAGAAGTCATATAACCCGACTGTGCCTCAGTTTTCTCAGATGTAAAATGCAGATGATAGGATCTGCTTCCACTAAAACTGTGCCTGGCTCCTATAAGTGTTGGCCTCATTTGGTATGTTGGGCAGTTAAGATCTTACTTTGAAAAACAGCTTGGGGCCGGCCCATGGCTCACTTGGGAGAGTGTGGTGCTGACAACACCAAGTCAAGGGTTAAGATCCCCTTACCGGTCATCTTTTTAAAAAAAAAACAGCTTGGAAATCCTGGCTGAAGGGTGCAGCTGAGGAGTCGCTGGGTCAGAGCTGCCCCTTTGCAAGACGACCTTGGCTGTGGCAGGCCTGACGGACAGGAAGGGCAAGGCCAGGGCAGGGAGGCCAGCAATGAGGCTGTTTCCACAGCCTCTGAAGAGGGGATGTGTCCTGCATCACAGGGGCTTGGCTGCCTCTGTTTCCCCCAGGAGTTTGGCCTTTGGCAGGCAGAGTTTCTAAGGGAATTCATTATGCAAGTGAGTACAAGTGGTGGGTCCAGCAGGACAGTTAGAGAGCAGCCTGTGCCAGGGCTTGCTGTCCCCAGGGCAGCTGCAGTCAAGCCCACCCCATCCTTCTCCCAGGCACCAACAAATGCCTTAGACCAGAGTTGCTCGACCTGGGCACCACTGACATTTTGGGCCGGAGAATTCTTTGGTTGGGGGCTATCACATGCATTGTAGCATGTTTAGCAGCATCCCTGGCCTCTACCCACTAGGTGCCAGGAGCTCCCCACCCCCACACAGTGTGACAACCAAAAATGTCTCACATGGCCAAATGTCCCCTGGGAGGCAAATAACTACTCATTTCTTGTTCCAGAAAAAGAGCACAGTCTCTGAAGTCAGAGAAAACTGGGTTCTAGTCCTTGCTCCATCCTGTAGGAGCTCTGTGACCTTGGGCAAGTCGTTTCACCTCTTTCCACATCTGTAGAATGGGGATGGTAACTATGGAGCCCACATGAAGTGGCAGAGAATGAAAGAGCTAAGGCAGTCAGACGGGACTGTGGTGTTCTAAGGAGCCAGGGAAGGGAAAGAGCTTTTTGGTGCCCATTGTGTGTTTCTTTCCATTTTCTTTGAGCTTTTAGGTTGCAGAGAGGCTGCCGTGAGGCATTTCCTGGGCCCTGCCCAAGGAGCTGGAATCCTGGGCCATTCTTGGGAAAACAGTGCCTTCTTGCATTAAAGAGGAGCCTAGGGCCTCTGGCTGGCTGGAAAGTTACAGTACCCCACACACCAGTCCGGAAGCTCCCTCAACCATCACAGAATCAGAGATGGAAAGAGACCTTTCAAGGCCTCTAGTGCAAGTCCCCGGACCCTTTCCTCCAAAAGTCCTGCTGAGTGCAAGCTCAGCCTTTCTTGCACATTTCTCCGTACAGGGAGGTCACCCCCTTACCCTGAACATCATTAGAGCCTGATGTGCTGGGTGCAGTGATGCCAAGTTCCAGGCCCTTGGCTAAAGTGTCAGGGCCTTCCCCATCCTCCTGTCTTCCTCTCCCTTGGGAGGAGTGGAGGACAGGGGCAGGGGCTGCACGGACTGGGTAGGGTGGGGGTGCTTGCCAGCATGTGGAGAGCCCGCAGGAATGGCTCTGCAGAGGAAAGTTTGGGAAAGCCAGACTCAAACTTCGGTTGGAATCTTTGGGATGTGTCAAGGGGATCCTGGGCCAGCAAAGAGCATGCTGGATTGCAGGAACCATCTCTGTCCTTCCCTCTGATGTCCTAAAGGACCCCACTCCTTGACCTATAACTTCTCCCCTCTGGGCAGAGGCCCTACCCCTAAGTTTGGCCCCACATCCTGGCCGCCTTTCCGAAATTGCCCCTGGTTTTGAGATCATCTTCACCTCAACACCTTGGCTCTGTATACCCTCTACTCCATGCCCTGGGCATGGGGGGCCCTGGCTCCCATGAAACACTGAAACCAGAATCTGTCCTCTGCTCGACTCTTGCTTTGAAAGTCCTTGAGAGTAGGTGACATAATCTCCTCCCCCAACCCCTACCCCACTTCAGGCCTCCTCCAAGACTGGATGGTGCTCTCCGGAGCTGGGGCCCCAGACATTTGGGGTGGGCCTTCCCGGGCCCTTCTGCAAGGGATCCTCTAGTGGCAAACCACAGCAGGCGAGGCAGCAGTGATGCCACAGGGCATGGGATGGAAGATGTTTGCATAGGTCCTACCCAAACAGTGATAACAGTCCTTGAACCTCTTGGACACAGAGTTGCTCTCCCAGGTATTGGTTAACCAGGACCTGTCCTGGGGAACCTGAAGCCTCCCTGACCTGACTTCCTCTAAGGTTTGAGGGAAATGGTTGGAAAGGAAGTCTGAGCACTTGTACAGATGTGCACATGTGTGTTCACATGCACATAGATGTGTGTGGGTGCTGCTGAATTGGGAACTCAGTAGGCAGTGTAGGGGGTGGATATTTGAGGGGGATCCTAGGCCGCATGGGCAGGACATCAGTCCAGGTGGGCAGAGTTCAGACAGGGTGACCTCAGAAGAACAGGTTATCAAACATAAACCCTCACTGTCCTGGGCATACACGTGGGCCCAGCAGGCAGACCATGGGGCGAGGCCCTCAGCAGGCCATCACACTGCACACCTCCAGCAGCACTGCTGCACAGAAGTCTGTGTGATGGAGACCCTATTTTGCAGTGCACTGCCCACATTGCTGTGCCAGGTCAGAAAGTCCTGACCTGACCACTGTGGGATCAGATAGCTCCAGCAGTGGGGAAAGGAGGTAAATATAATTGACACATGTACACACACGCCAACGTATGTATACATGTGGTGCCTGTGTACCCACAATGTCACGTGTATAAACACACAGACACCCTGCTCCTGTGTACAGTGAGGACAGGAGGCCTACCACAGTGTGGGCCAGGTGGGCTTTTCCACCCTTGGCAGCCTGTCTGTGCCCAAGGGGGTCGCCACCTCCACCCTCCACCCACCCACCTGGGCCAGGCCCAGCTCCCCGTCCTCCTGTGTGTCTCTCTGACTCCCTGCTTGGGTTTCCTTCACTCCCTCCACTCTGACATCTGTCTCCTCTGCACCCCTTATCTGTCTGGGCAATGAGGGGTGGGAGGTGGTGGGGAGGAGGGGATCTGCTCTCATGGACCCTGAATTAGCTTTTAGTAGGAGTCAGGGCCCCCCTCACCACACCCTTGTCCCACCCCAGGAAGTCTCCCCTTGGTGGGGAATCATGATCCAATAGCCACCCCCAAGTCCTAAGTCAGCTTTGTCCCCACTTACCTCCACCCCTAGCTCTGGCTAACGACTCTCTCTCCAACCTGCCCTGCCCTGCCAGCAGCCGGATGGGCATCAAAGACCGCATCCGCATGGGCAGCTCCCAGCGGCGGACAGGTCCTTCCAAGCAGCACCTGGCACCTCCGCCCATGCCCACCTCCCCAAGCAGCGAGCAGCTGGGGGAGGCCACCAGTCCCACCAAGGTACAGAAGAGCTGGAGCTTCAATGACCGTACCCGCTTCCGGGCCTCTTTGAGACTCAAACCCCGCACCTCTGCTGAGGGTGAGCCCCCAGGGGGTGGCAAGGGCGGGATAGTCTGGGCAGGGGACAGAAAGACCCGGCTCTAATCCCAGCTCTATGACTGTTTGACCATCTTTGGGCACCAGTCTTCTGGTCTGTATAATGGGTATCATAATACTTGCTTTGCTGTAAAGTGGGCATGAGACTGAGGATCAAATGTGAATGGGGCAGGTGGCATTGGGTAGTGGTGAAGAGCACAGGCTTTGGAGCCATGCTGTCTGGATTTGACTCCTGGCTCTGTCACTTAGGCAAGGGGCCTAGTCTCTCTGGACCTCATTCTCCTCAACTGTAAAATGGGGAGGATAATAGTATCTATTTCATAGGATTATTGTGAAGATTAAATGAGATAGTTATGGAAGGTGAACAGAAGAGTGTTTGGAATATTTTAAGTGCTTAACAAAAGCTAGCTGATGACAACAAGCTTGGGAAGAAGCAGGAATCCCTACTGAGTGAGCCCTGGCTGTGTACAGCTGCACGCTGGGTTATCTCATTTACTTCTCCCAGTGACCCTGGGAAGTAGGTGGTTTTTATCCCCACTTTACAGACATGGACACAGATCTCTTGGCTTGTGAGTGGCCGAGCTGTCTCTCCAACTCCAAAGCCCATGCTCTCTGCCCTGCACCTCTTTACCCAGCCCAGCCTGCAGGCACGAGGCTGTGGACCTGGTGGGGTCACTTTTTAACTATTTTTTAGTTCTAGCTCTGCTCATGACTTGCACTGTGACTTAGGCAAGGTACTGCCTTCTTCTGTGCCTCAGTGTCCTCTTCTTTTGGTTGGACCAAACCCACTGGAAAACTTCCCCCAGCTTTGATATGCTTCAGGCCCCTGGGTGGGGAAGGGGGGGGTGAGTGGATAAGGATGGGGGGTGGGGATGGGAAGCCCCTTTGGCCTTGGGGGGAGAGGACCCAGCCATGCTGCCTCTGCCTGTCCTGTGTCAGTCCCTGAGATACTGCTGGCTGACAACCCTTTCCTGGAAAGTTACAGAACCCTACAAACCAGTCTTTGGCAGGTGCTGACCCATGGAAACCTGGGCATGGCCAGTGCCCGAGATCTCCTTTCCCTGTCCTGGAAGCTGCTGGGTCTCCTGCCACCTCCTGCCCCCTGCTCCTGTGGGGTTAGGATAGCATCATCTGTCTGTACAGCACAGGGCACCAGCCTCAGAGAAGCTGTTTCTCTCATCTGGGGAAGAATGACTTGTTTTAAGGGCCTTCCCCAGTAGCAGGGCTAGGCTTGGGCTCCCTTCCCTTGAGCTCCCTTCTCTCTTAGCTGACAGATAAGACCGTGTGCATGACTTTGTGCAGCAGCTTCGAACTTTTCTCTGGGTCTCACTGTCCTGCATCGTGGGACCAGTGGGCTTTCCTCTGGGCTACGTGCAACAAATTTGCCCCAGGCCAGACCAGATGTGCACAAAAGCAGCACGTACCACCTGGGTACCAGGCAGATGTTCACTCTCACTGGCCACAGGGGTAGATGGGCATGCCACAAATGGGTTTTCCACCCTGGGTAGGGCACTGAGAGGTAGCAGCCAGGGAGGTAGGAGCCTGGGCTGTCTGCCCCTAGGAAGGTTCTGAGCCCTTTCTGGGCCTCTGTCTTCCTTCGGTACCTCTAACCGTGGGGGTGTGGGGGGGTGGGAGTGGCCCCTTCTGCTGTCAGCACTTGGACCACTTGGGCCACTCCTGTCTTTTCAGAGGGCCCCTCAGAGGAAGTGGCAGAGGAGAAGAGCTACCAATGTGAGCTCACAGTGGACGATGTCATGCCTGCTGTGAAGACGGTCATCCGCTCCGTCAGGTGAGACTGAGGCCGGAGGTGAGCACCCCTCCATCTGCTACCTGCTCTGCTCCGCATCTGGGCTGCCCTCATGGCCAGGCCTGGCCTAGCTCCCGGAGTGCCAGCTGCTGCCCGCCTAGAGTGCGGGTGGGGCGGTGAGGTGGCATACGGCTCCCAGCAGGTTTTGTTCCCGCCCAGCATGTTTAGAGGGTCTGGCTGGGTGGGGCAGTGGGCACACCTGCCCACCACGGCCCCTCTCTTGACACACGCGGTGTCCTCTGCATGACTCCCACGCTGCCTCTCTGCTTTTCGCCCTTTCCTCTCTCCCTTTCTGTCTCCGTGTCAGGCTCTCTACTCTATTTGTCCCGTGCCCTCAGGGGGTATCAGCATCATCTGTCTCTCCTGCTGTCTCTGTCTTATACGCTCTTTCCCTGCGCCTCTGTGTCTCAAAGTTTCTCTCCTTGGGAGTCTTGGCCTCAGTCTATTTCCCCAGAACTTCTTGTAGCTCAGCGCTTTTCAAACCACAGGTTGAGACAGTTTGAAATCTACTTAGTGAAACTAATTTAGTGGGCCATGGTCAGCATTAAAAAAAGAATAGAAAATATCAAAGTGCATCTCTCATAGTGATGGTAAATGATGTTTATCAAACTTATATTGCAGTTGTGTGTGTGTGTATTGGTTTTTGATATAAAATGTATTTTTTTTTAAATAAAGATGACCAGTAAGGGGATCTTAACCCTTGACTTGGTGTTGTCGGCACCACGCTCACCCAGTGAGCTAACCGGCCATCCCTATATGGGATCCGAACCCATGGCCTTGGTGTTATCAGCACCACACTCTCCTGAGTGAGCCACAGGCCGGCCCCTAAAATGTATTTCTTATGATAGGTCTTAGTCCAAAAAATTTGAAAGCCCTTGCTCTACTGGTCTGCCTTGACAATTAAATGGAGGGCAGTGGGGAGGGTGACGGGCAGAGTCTACGGAGTCCTTTAGCCATGGCCCAGCCATGGATCTGGCCCCCTGCTCCTTGGTCTAGTACCATCTCCAGCCTGCAGCTCTAGCTCCAGAAACCCCGAACCTCCCGGCCTCTGGGCTCAGGTCCTCTCATCCCTGCCTAATGCACCTGCCCACATGCCTCTTCCCTTTATGTTCCTTTTAAAATCAGAGGTAGCTGGACCTCCTGCCCCCCTCTTCTCTCTGGAGTTGGAGGGCTCTCCTCACCCCCTTTCCACCCATCCGGTCCCTGCCCTCCACGTGACCAGCATCTAGAACACAGTGCCCGGGCTGCCACCTGACCCAGCTCAGCTCTCCTGGCCACCTCACACCCAGCATGCCCCAACCTGCTCCTCCTCCCAGGTCCCTGTTTCAGGCAGTGGCATCACCATTCATCCTGTCACCCAAGCCATGGAAGTCATCCTGGACTTGGATGCCTTTCTTCAGCTCCACCTCCTGAACTGCTCAATACTGTCCTGTATCTCCACCCCACTGCCCCCTCCCAGCTCAGGAACTCCACCCCTGGAGCTGGTCTCCCTCCCTGCCCATGACTTTGCCCCTCCAGGGCATTCTCCAAACAGGCTGGCAGAGTAGTCATGCTAAAGCAGAGTAAATGACAACCCCCCACCCCCACCCTCACTGTCCCAGTGCCCAGTCTCACTGCCAAGGATTCAGGACTCTTCAAAGTACTCCCCCAGCCTCCTTCTCAGGGCGAATCTCCTCCCTGTCTTCTCACCCCCCCCCCACCTTGGATTAACTCCCATTCATCGTCTCCCTATTTATCCTATTTGGGTGTAGGGAGACCCAGCAGAGGCTGCTTGCTGTGGCCCAAGCAGGAGGTACCATGGTGCTGGATAAGGGGGTAGGAAAGGCACGGAGAGGGGGCTGGAAAAGAATCCCCTGCTGGAACAGGACCCTCCTTCTGATACCCCCTTCCCCGACAGGATTCTGAAGTTCCTGGTGGCCAAAAGGAAATTCAAGGAGACGCTGCGACCTTACGACGTGAAGGACGTCATCGAGCAGTACTCGGCAGGGCACCTGGACATGCTGGGACGGATCAAGAGCCTACAGACTCGGTGGGTGCGGCGGCCCCGGACGGGGTGGGGGCAGCAGCCGACGGCTCCAGCTCCGCGCTAGGCCTGAGGTCGGAGCCCCTCCTCCGGCGCCCGAACGGAGCCTCGAGCGCCCCCTAGGGCCGCCCCCGGAGCTGGTTTCCGGTCTGGGCAAGGCCCCCGCTTGCAGCGCGCGGCTGAGGCCAGGCCCCGCACCGGTCTTGAGGCTGAAGAAAAACCCAGCCGTAGGTCCTCTGAGTAAGCCCTGTTGACCTGCACGCCTCGGGGACTTTCTTTAGAATGTCTGTTTGCTGGTCCTAAAATAATCTGCCTAAAATAATCACTGACCTCCCATCTCCCAAGGGGACAGGCAAATTGTCCTCAATGCCCACCTCTTCTTGCCTCTGGAATTCTCCCCCACTCTTCTCCAGGCACAGCATAAAGGAAGAATCTTCCCCAAATCACCTACACCCTGCCCTTCTCTTCTGGCCTGCGTTTTCCCTGCCGTCATGGAGTTTTCATTCTAGTGCAAGGAGAACAGATGATAAACAAGTAAAACTAGAACACATCAGATGACAAGTGCTAAGGAGAAAAATATGGGATAGGGTGTTGGGATTTGTGATTTTACATAGGTGAGAAGATGACATTTGAGAAAAAAATGCAAGGAGGTAAAACAACTACATCTGTGGTTTAGGTGAAGTGCTCCCAGAGGGAAGAGCAAGTGCAAAGGACCGGAAATGGGCAAGGAGCTGGAGTGTTGTTTTAGGAACAGCAGGGAGCCCAGTGTGACTGGACCGGAGTGAGAAAGGTAGGAGATGAGGTCAGAGGGCCAACAGCACTTGGACTGTATAAAACTCTGACATTGTGCTTTGGCTTGAAGGACTTTGGTGTTCATCCAGGACAAGATGCAAGCACTGGAGGGCTTTGTGCAAAGGATTATTAAGATCTTAGTTATCTTTAAAAAGGATCACTCTGGGTGCTGGTTTGAGAATGGACTATAAGGGAGTGGAATCAGGTAGACCAATGAGGAGCCTACTTCAGATGTGCGGGCAAGAGATGATGGGGACTTGTACCAGAGTGGCAGCTGTGGAGGTGGTCAGATCCTAGATATATTGTGAAGATAGAGTTGACAAGGTTTCCTGATGGGGTGTAAGAGAAAGAAAAGAGTCAAGAGTGAAGCCAAAGTTTTTGACTTGAGCAAGAGGAAAAATTGAGTTGCCACTTACTGACATGGAGAAGGCAATGAATGCAGCAAGTTTTGATCAGGAGAATTGGGACATGCTGGGTTTGTGATATCTGTCAGACATCCAAGTGGAGTGTTGATCCGGCAGTTAGATACAGAAGTGTGGAGTTCAGAGGAGAGGTAAAGGGTAGAGATAAAGAGTTGGTGTCAACAGTGTATAGAGGAATGGAAAAATCATGGAACTGAAGACATCACCTAGTAAATGAGAGTAAATAGAGAAAAGAGGTCCCAGGAGGGACCTTAAAGGTTATGTCAATAGAGGAGGAACCAGCAAAGGAAACTGAGAGGAGAGGTCAGGAAGGTAGAAGGAGAACTGGGAGAGAGTGGTGTTTTTGAATCCAAATGAAGAAAGTGTTTGCAGATGAAAGGGTGATCAGATGTATCGAGTGCTGCTGATAGGTCATGTAAAATGAAGACAGAGTTGATCATTGGATTTAACAACATGGAGTACATCTGGGAGCTTAACAGCCGTAGTTTGTGAAATGGTGGGGGTAAAAGCCTGATTGGAATAGGTTTAAGAGAAAAAGGGAAGAGAGAAATTAGAGGTAGAGGGTAGAAATAACACTTTCAAGAATTTTGGTGCAGGGCCGGCCCGTGGCTCACTCAGGAGAATGTGGTGCTGATAACACCGAGGCCACGGGTTCAGATCCTGTGTAGGGATAGCTGGTTCGCTCACTTGGGAGAGCGTGGTGCTGACAACACCAAGTCAAGGGTTCGGATCCCCTTACCGGTCATTTTTTAAAAAAAGAATTTTGCTGTAAAGGAGACCAAAAAAATAAGATGGGATCAGCTCTAGCCTTGTCCACCTTATAACTCACATTCTCACGTGTCTCCTTTCCCCTTTCCCCTTCTACCATTTCCCACCTCTCCTCCATCAGGTGCTTGTCTTACTTGTCATGCTTATGTGGGTGCCATTGCTCAGTCAGTTGGAGAACCCCCAAAGCAGGGTCCGGTCCCTCCACCCCAATTCGGCCTCCATTTGGCGGGACAATCCCCTCCTCACAAATTGCCCCTCCCTCCGGTGCAGGCTGTGGCTTCCCCCTTAGCAGGCAACCTAGAGTTATTGTGGAAGGGAGGGGCGGCATATGTCCGGACCCTTTGATCGTTCCCTTTCCCTACAGGGTGGACCAGATTGTAGGTCGGGGGCCCGGGGACCGGAAGGCTCGGGAGAAGGGCGACAAGGGGCCCTCCGACACGGAGGCCGTGGATGAAATCAGTATGATGGGACGCGTGGTCAAGGTGGAGAAGCAGGTGAGTGTAGGATGGAGTTTCGCTGGGGTGGCGGAGCTGGTCAGCGACTGAGCTCTGGAGGGCCGCAGGGACAGGAAAAGGCGGGGGTGAGCGTCTCTGAGCCGCAGCCCAGGGCACCTGCGCGGGAGGCCCTCACATAGCCCGCCCGCTCCCGCTAAACGATCCCACTAAACCCCTCCCCTAGGCTTCCACAGTCTCAGACGAGCCCGTCTAAATCCCACCTCCTCTACTTAACCCTGCCTCTCAATTGTCTCTATCTCCTGGACTATCCCAACCAATCACAACGAAATTTTGCCCCGTGACTATGCCCCACCTTCCGACCTTCGTCCGGGTTCTCCGGCCAAGCTCCGCCTTGCAGCCCCGCCCAGGCCCCCGCTCACTGGCTGTGCTCCGCCCCGCACCCCGCCTCTGGCCACTCCCCACCCTGGTCAAACCCCGCCTCCCAGCGGCGTCCCGCCCCGCCCCCAGGTGCAGTCCATCGAACACAAGCTGGACCTGCTGTTGGGCTTCTATTCGCGCTGCCTGCGCGCCGGCGCCTCGGCCAGCCTGGGCACCGTGCCGGTGCCGCTCTTCGACCCCGACATCACCTCCGACTACCACAGCCCTGTGGACCACGAGGACATCTCCGTCTCCGCACAGACGCTCAGCATCTCCCGCTCGGTCAGCACCAACATGGACTGAGGGGCATCTCAGGGGCGGCGGCGGCACACGGCCAGCCCCTCGGCCTGGGGCTCGGACCCGCCCTCTGAGGCCTCGGGAGTCCTCTCTTACTTGAACTCGCTCCCTCGCGGGGAGAGAGGCCACACGCAGTATTAAGCTGCCTGGGTGGGCGAGATACCCGCTGCGGGTGCCAGCGCCCGACCCCATCTCAGGAGCGCGAGATGCCAGGCCGCACCAAGGGCAGCAGCAGCGGCTGCCCCGCGGCCTCTGGGCTCCCCAGTGCCCTGCCCCCTCCATCAAGGCCCGACCTAACCCGCCTGGCAGGGGCACTGCCCCAGGAGTGGGAGCCGGGCGCTGGGGCCCTGGGCCCTGACCCAGCTTCCAGCTATGCAAGGTGAGGTCTCTGGCCCGCCCTTCGGACAGAGCAGGGAAGCCCTCCCGCCAAGTCCCCGCCCCACTTGGGGGTGGGTCCAAGGTGCCCCACAGGTACCCACAAAGCACAGGACCCTGCCACAAGGCAGGTGGGCACCATATATGCAAACTATGTTAAATATGCAACTTTGGGGACCCCCATGGGGTCCCTCTGTCCCTCTCCCCTTGGGAGATGGGCCCCCAGCAGTAGCTGGTCTCAGGCTGCTTGGCCATGACCCCACCCCATTCTTTGGCTTATCACTCTGCCCTCACCCAGCATGGGGCCTTTTTCTCCCCTGCCCTCTCCCAAGGGCACTGCCTGGGCCTTTCTTCCCATTTACAGGTGTCACCTCCCAGGGATTCCCTCTTCCTGCTGGATGTCTGCTCCACTCTTTGGCCCTCCAGACACCTTTGACAGTCTTCACAATTTCTGTATTCTCCCCATACCTCCCAGACAGTGCTCCACGGTCACACAAATGTGACTCTTTAGTTCCTCCAGACATGCGGAAAGCCTCACATTCACACTGATACACACAATCACATGCACCTGGAGACATGAGCACCTAGAGCCACTCAGCCTTTCCTGGGCCTCTGCAGTTGATGCCAGTGGACTGGCCTTGCAGGGTGATGTCCACTAAGAGGAAGCCCCCACTCTGGGCAGAAGAGGGAACTTTGAAGTGACCTCAGGTCTCTCCAGGCCCCCATTCAGAGCTTTTTCAGTTCCCTTTAAGAAGATCTACTCCTCACTGGTCCAGGAGCCCTACCTCTGTCTGCAGAGGGAGGACCCCCCAGCACAACCTTGGACACCACTGGAGAGACCCCAGCTGCTTCTTTCCAGGCTTGCCCCCTTCCTAGTCACTTTAACTCCCAGAGAGAATACTAATGCATCTAGCAGCTATACCAACTGGGCATCTGGCTGTCACGTGCTCTGTCTCTCCTCCTTCCACTCCCCACTTCCTCACTTTGGTTGGCAGCCCCACATACCGTCAAAAGCCTCCATGCGCTTCAGGCCCCCAGCACCACTTTCGTATCCCTACCCCTTTGTTCCTCTTCTGCAAAGCCAATGCAGGTGGTGGGAGGGTGAGGGGTTGTGGACCAATGGCAATCCTCTCTGGGGTGCCAGGAATAAGGGGCTGAGGCCAAGCTGCCTGCATCTCATGCTGGGGACCTGCATGCACCAGCGCCAGGGCTTGGCTGGCTCTTGCTCAGCCCCAAGGTGCCCAGCCTTTGCCCCAACATGCCCTCTGCATGTGATCATGCCCTGGATGGATCCCATCCTGGCTCGCCTCGCCCGCACTGCACTGTCCTCAGAGAGCCATCCCTCCAGCCCCTCGGAGACAGAGCTGAGGAGAGGTGCAGGAGAATGGGATTGCCCTATGACCAAAGGAGACTTGGGAAGAAGGCCTCCGTCCTTCCATGATTGAGGTTCCCCCACCAACCTGGTTCTCGGATTTGCAAGTACCTCACTTTGTTAACTTATTAACTTATTGGTTTCATTAAAGTTTTCAGTAGGAGGTGGTTGGTCTTGGTTTTGTTCAGTGGCTATGGGTGAGACTCCTGGTTTGGGGGTGGAGACAAGGAGATTTGGATTAGTCAAGACTCTGTTGTGAACAACAAAAACCCAACCCCATATAGATTAAGCAAAAAATGAATCTTATTGGCTCAGAGAACTACAAGTCCAGGGGATAGATTTGGCTTCATGCACAACTAGGTCTAGGTGTTTAAACATGTCAGGAATCTGTCTCCTGTCTCAGCCTCCTTCTTAGGCAGGCTGACCTCTCATGATGACCAGTGAAAAGTGAGGACCACTTTCCCAATAGTTTGTATCAGTCAGGAAAACAGAAACAACACTAGGTTTTTCAACAAAGAGAATTTTCTATAGGGAATGGGTTGCACTGATACAGGAGGGCTGAATGAACAAAGATAACCAAGGGAAAATGACTGCAGGAAGCAGCTCCCACTCCTAGAACTGCAGGAACATGCAGAAGAGGTTGGGGTTATCAGAACCTACAAGCTTGTGGCGAGAGGGGATTGTAGTGCTGGGGCTCAGAAATCTGAAAAGGAGGTACTCTCTGGCTGGTGCTAGTAGCTCTCAGAGGATACAGTGAGGCTTGTCTGCAAGTGCAGGAAAAAAGCTGAAGTCTGGGATCAATTGTTGCCACCTGGCTGTTGCTGATAAGGCTGGGAAGCAAAGGAGGAAGGAAGTCTCCACTTCTGCCTTCCAGTCTTCCCCCAGTGCCCCTTGTTGTCAAGGCCAGCTAACAGGAATAACGTGGTTTGCAGAATCCCAGCCCCAGTATCACAGAGTAGTGAAGGCTATACTAGGAACTGAAAGACAATAGCTTAATAATGGGCACAGATGACTCCTTTGGACATTCAGTATCCATACACATCAATCCACGCATATTTGAATCTCCGTATAACAGCAGTAGCTTCCACCTAATGGGACAAAACTATTCTTCATACAAGTGAAGATACTAACCTAATCCTCTCCCCCAAAAGGGGGAAACACAAAGTCCCACTGTCCAACAGATGTAGCCATCTCCAGGAGTTAGTCATTGAATCTATATTTGGGTGATGTTAGTTATTCCTCTAATTCAATTCCACCTGTAACTAAACACTAAAGTTAGTAATCAGTTACATTCTTTATATAAAATAATAAGGAAAGGAGGAGGAAGGGAAAAATAAATGTAATTTATACAACACACACACACACACACACACACACACTATTAGTCAGGGTTCTCCAGAGAAATCAAATCAATAGTATACGTTATAATTATACGAGAGGGATATATTAGGGGAATTGGCTCATGTTACTATGAAGAAAAGTCCCACGATAGGCCGTCTGTAAACTGGATCCCGGTACCGTTGCTCAGTTCAAGTCCAAAGGCCTCAAAACCAGGGAAGCTGATGGTGTCCTTGGTGTAAGTCCTGGAACCCAAAAGCTGAAGAGTCTCGAGCTCTGTCTGATGTCCATGGACAGGAGAGAAGAGTGTACCCCAAAACCAGCAGAAAGAGAGGGAGCCTCACCTCGTTCCTCTGTCTTTTGTTCTCTCTGGACCCCCAGCAGATTCTATAGTTCCCACCCACATTGACGGTGAGTTTTTCCCACCCAATCCAATCAGACTCATACTAGTCTCTGCTGGAAACACCCTCACAGACACACCTAAAAAGATTGCTTTATCAGGTTTCTCAGCATTCCTTCATCCAACCAAGTTGACACCTAGAATTAACCTTCACACACATCAAGCAAGCAAGAAAAAATACGTAGCTGCGGTAGATGTCCTTCTGGTAACTGGTCACAGTGCCATAGTTGATTTGTACAACTTTATTCATGGCTGTTCTATGACACCTTTGCACTCAGCCAGCACCTCAGCTGGTTAGGATTCTTTATGTGGTAGGGTGATCCAAATCATTCCTGAAAGGACTTAATCCTCCTTGGATTAAGTGGTGCCTCATGGTTGTCGTAGCTTTTCATTAATTTTACTACTGTACATGGAACCCCTGGGTTCCAGACATAGTCCTCTTTGCCTTTATGTAGCAGCTGCCCAATTTCCCCTTGGTAATAAGTATCAGTCATGCAGCCAGTACATTAACTCTTTTTTTGTTTTGTTGGTTTAGTGGCATGAGGAGTCCCAAATGGCTAGATGGAAATTTCAACTTCCAATTCAATGAAAACTGCGTTGCCTCCCTTCCCTTAGAAACTAAGACCTCCAAACTAGCAGAGTAACATTGCAGAAATAGTAAGAAAAAGTTTTGTGAGTATAGCAGGCTGAAGAATGGTCACCCAAAGATATCAAATTTTAATGTCTGGAACCTGTAAATGTTACCTTATAAGGAAAAAGCGACTTTGCAGATGTGACTAAGTTAAGGATCTTGACATGGGGAGATTATCCTAGATTACCCAGTGAGCCCTAAATCCAATTACAAATGTCTTTTTAAGAGAGAGACAGAGGGAGATCATGCACACAGAAGAGGCGAAGATAGTATGAAGACAGAAGAAGAGACTGGAGTGATGTCCCAAGCAGAGGAATGCCGGCAGCCACCACAAGCTGGAAGAGTCAAGGAATGGATTCTCCCCTAGAGCTCTGAGGAGGGTAGCCCTGCTCACACCTTGATTTAGGCGCAGTGAAACTGATGACTTTATGGCCTCCAAAACTGTCAGAGAATACATTTTTGTTGTTTTAAATCACCAAATTTAGAGTAATTTATTATGGCAGCCATAGGAAACTAATACAGTGGGTTATTTGGTGTCTTAGTGAGAGAAGCCATTCTCAGTATCTCCCTAGGATTCCTGGAACTTATTCTGATTCCTGGAACATATTTGGGCTATGTCAGTGAGGATAAACCATGCCCCCTTCATGATGGAAAAGATCCAATGGAATCGACCTGGTACCAGGAGGCTAGGTGAACCCCTGCAGAGGGGTGACATAATAGGTATTCAGTATTTGTCTCTGCTGATGGCAGGTTGGACATACAGTAGTGGTGTTAGCCAGATCAGCCTTGATCCATATTGTTAAGTTCATGTTATTGAACCCATAAATAGTTTCCATTCTTGCCATGACCACGTTGTACATGAGCATATTGAGAAAGCGCGGGAAGGACTATAGAAAGAGGCTGACGTGACATCCACAGAATGTGTCACCTTGTCCGTCTGATTATCGAGAGTCTCCTCTGCCGTGGGTGCTTTTTGGTGAGCTTTTACTTGGAATACACATATCTCCATGTTCTGTGCCATTTCTGAAAGTCCATCTAAATACCTTTTCCCATTTTGCTTATTGCCAATCCTCCAATTCTGTGCTTTCTGAGTCCCTGACCATCCAGCCAAACCGTTAGCCACTGCCCATAAATCAGTGTAGACCCGTACCTCTTGTCATCTTTCAATTCAGACAAAATGGACAACCAAATGCGGACGGATGGGTGGAATTTAGCTGGGCGTGGGAACAGCAGTGGTGGTAGTGAGTGTTCCAGCTAGAGGGCATAGCACATGTAAAGGGCCGGCAACACCAGAGTGTGGTACGTGAAGGGCACAGAAAGAAATCCCTGTGGCTGGGTCAGAGAGCAAGAGAGAGAGTGGTGTAAGAGGAGAATTTAGAATTAAGGGTCAAGGTTTGCAGGATTTCATATGTCTTTCAAAAAGATAGCACTTAACCATGAGGGCAGTAGGGAGCCAATGCAAGATTTTGATCAAGGATCACACTGGGATAGATCTGCATTTTATTATTTATTTATTTATTTATTTATTCATTCATTTATTTATTTTTTTATTTTAAAAAGGTGACTGGTAAGGGGATCTTAACCCTTGACTCAGTGTTGTCAGCACCACGCTCACCCAGTGAGCTGATCGGCCATCCCTATATAGGGATCTGCACCCATGGCCTTGGTGTTATCAGCACCACACTCTCTCAAGTGAGCCACCAGCTGGCCCTTAGATCTGCATTTTAGAAAGTTTTCTTCCTAGGATAGAGGATAGATTTGAAGGAGCACGTCTGGGTGTGGGGAGACCAGTTAGGAGACTGTTGCAGTAATCTGAGCAGAGATGTTGGTAACTTGAACAAGTCCCATGGCATTTCACTAATTGAGTTAAATGTCTACTGAGCACCTGCTGTATGCTAGACCCTGGCTCAGCACAATACACAGGATGAACAGATGCAGAAGAATGAGTTACAGCCCTGAGGTCATCCAGCCCCTAGGGGAGACAGATGCACAATTAACCAATGCACAAGCCACTGTTTATCTTCTAAGTTTGTCTGGCTCAGCAAGGAGGGTTTGCAGGTGGCTATGGGAGTCCCCAAAGTGTCATCAGATAACGGCCTTGGGAGCAGATATGATTTTAGCTTGGTGTGTCATTTGTCTATTGCTATGTAACAACTTACCCTAAAACTTAATGGCTTAAAAAAATAACCACTTTATTTACTCTTAATTCTGTGGGCAAGCAATTTGGGCTGGACTCAGCTGAGCAGTTTTGCAGGTCTCACCTGGGACGCTAATGTGGTTGCAATCACCTGTATCTTGACAGGCTAGATGATGTAAGATGGCCTTACATATCTGGTGTTTGGTGTGGGCTATCAGCACCCTGGTTGGTGTGGGGTGGCTTCTCTCTGCTCCGTGTGGCTTCTATCCTCCAGTAGATTAGACTGGCCTTCTTCATGTGACAAGACGGCAAAAGCAGAAGCTATGAGGCCTCCCGTGACCCACGCTCAGAAGCTGTACCAAGCAGCCTGGGGTTGAGCTCACAATGTTTATGGATTCACCAGGACTGGGCAGGAGTTCAGTTCACTTAGGTGAGGGCTCTGAATATGTTGCAATTTTTATACTCTTGCAGATCAAAGAAAATTTAGGTAACTTATTTCATGCACTTTTGACGGTTCTAGCTGTTGAAACAACTTTTTGTTTTCCGAGAAGTGGAGGCACAGTCTCCCCCTACCACCCACCTCTTGTGTACAGCAGGATTGTGACAGCTGCTACCCTGCTGTCTTGGTCTGCTTGGGCTGCCATAACAGATTCCACA